GGTCTCGTTGGTAATAAAAACGACGGGAAGTGTTAGAACTAGTGAGTATTTTGAGATGATAGCAGACGAAATGTCTTGAAGACGTGAAAACAAAGATGGCGGCTGAAATACCTTTTATATACTATAATATATAGTCAAGCAGTAGTAAGAAGTTTTATTTTATATTTTAATCCCTTCAAGTGCCTGTGCAGTCTCAGTGCATAAAGATACAGACCACCAAACCCTTACTAACTTGTAAAATCGACGTTTCCTCCTTGTTACTAACCAAGGTTTAGATTAGATGGCTTAGATTAAAAATCTCAAAATCTCTGATCTGTATACAGTATACAAGACTAGATATGGATGGATAAGTGTAACGACAAAATACTGAATTATAAAAATGAAGATGCACAAGATTCGGGGGCGCTGGAACGTCCGATGGGCGGGGTGGGGGGGGGCTGGGAGCTTTCTTTCCCCCTGGAGTTGTGGGTGGGGTGGGGTGGGGGTCCGTCCTTCCCCCGAAAATGTTTTTGAAACTCGGGTGGAGAAACGAAAATATCTGACGTCTTCTGGCAGGCTACCAGTTAAAACCTATCAGATCAAAGTACAAATCAGATCACTAGAATCAATAACCGATTCGGTTCACTTCGACGTAGCATATTGAACAAAAATCTCGAATCCTGTTTTTATACATTTTCATCGGATATATTCAAAAATGTAAAGTCTTATCATGACATAGTACGGCAACGTGTACTTGGCCGAAGTATATTTTGCGCTGCTTCGAACTAGCAATGAACTCTATAACTACCTAATATATATCTACTTTGTCCATACGATTTTTCTGAATAGATGCAAACTGTGTGAACCCGCTCTCAAGTCCACACTCACTAACCGGTGATATGCACGAGATGGGATCTGGCCCTTAACCAATGCTCGAACACATATCAGTTGTTAAAATCGGCGAAGAGTTAAAGCACGAGGGCTGGTCAGACAATCTCTTTGCTGGTGTAAGAAAAACATTTTAAAGGACAGTCAGCAAAAAAGTAAGGACATACAGCGGGGTAATTGCCGCGTGCTTTTCGGGACAGGGCCGGAGGCGCGGTGGCATTTGTCCCTGAAGAAATTATGGTCTCTTACTACTCCCTGGATAAGTTCGAGTAACAAAAAAAAAATATTTGTAAAGAGTCAATACAAGAAAGTGCAGGCGGGCTGACGGACGGGAGCAAAAACGATATAAAGTATAAAAAGTTGTGTAAAGTACTTTTTCACTGTTCTATTTAAAAAGTCTGAAATCTTATCAAGAGTAAGAAAAATGTCTTTACATAATAAATTAGCAGAGTATGGATTTAATAAGATCATATTTTATTTTGGGTGACTTTAGTACTGCACAATATATTTTCAGTATTTACACGTCAAATCTCATGCAAGGATTGCTAATTTCCTCTAAATTTATTTGTTGCGTGCACAATGGGTCTATTGTTATTTTCGGGTTCCGTAAAGGTATCAGAATCTGAATCCCTGATCGAATGGTATAAATGTTAATTATATTTGTTAAGAGATGCTTACAATAAATCCGTCATTAACTTTTAGAGCATTATTCAACTCGTTCTTACGTGTTCGACCAGTGGTGATAATCTAATTTGAAATAATGATATCCGATAGGCATGCTTATATATTTTACATGCCGTATATGAAGCCATTGCAAACGAATTCATCAAAATATGTAATTCTCTTCGCAAGGAATTGTCGGCCATTTTGATTACATGTATCATTAATTTTATACGCCCACATTTTCATGTGGACGTATTATGCCGTCGCCCCTGTTTGTCCGTCCGTCCGGACGTCCGTCCACAATTTAATTGTGGACACTCTACAGGTCACAATTTTTATCCGACACCTGCAATATAGATTTATCTCCCTAAGATCTCGGTTTCTTTCGATATTGGCATGTATCGGACCGTAACTTCATGGATAATGGTCCCTGATTGTACGAAAAATCGCGTTTTTAGCTTGTGGGCCCTATATCCGATTTTGTTGAAACTTGAAAGTTAAATTTATAACCCAAAGATCTCAGTTCCTGTCGATATTCGCGCATATCGGACCGTAACATCCGGTATTATGGCCCCTGATTGTACGAAAAATCGCGTTTTTAGCTTGAGGTCCCTCGAGGGGTTACAATTATTACCCGATTTAAAAAAAAACCGTTCAAATATATCAACGTTACACCGTAATTTTGGTTGAGTTCGAATTTCGTGAAAATCGGACGAAAATTGCCAGACAAAATGTACGCCCCTCGTACACAATTAGTCTTAACATCTGGTATATCAATGTTGTGGACCCTCTCGGGGTCACAATTTTGATCTGATTTTGATGAAACTTGAAATGCATGTTTATAACCCAGCGATCCTGTCGATATTCGGGAATTTCGGATCGTAAATTCCTGAATTATAGCCCCTGATTGTATGAAAAATCATGTTTTTAGCCTGTGGTCCCTCTAGAGGTCACAATTATTATCCGATTTAAAAAAACGTTTTTATATATCACCATTACACCGTAATGTGTATTGAGTTTGAATTTCGTGAAAATCGGGCCAAAACTGCCGCACAAAATGGCCGCCCCTCGTACGCAAATAGTGTATAACATCTGGTATATCAAGGTTGTGGACCCTCTAGAGGTCACAATTTTGATCCGATTTTGATGAAACTTGAAATGCATGTTTATAACCCAAAGATCTTGGTTTCTGTCGATATTCGCGCGTATCGGCTTGCAACTTCCTGAATTATGACCCCTGATTGTATGACAAATCGCGTTTTAGCTTGTCACAATTATTTTCGGATTTAAAAAAATGTTCGATATATATATCAAGGTTGTGGGCTCTCTAGAGGTCACAATTTTGATCCGATTTTGATGAAAGTTGAAATACATGTTTATAACCCAACGATCCTGTCGATATTCGGGAATTTCGGATCGTAACTTCCTGAATTATGGCCCCTGAATGTACGAAAAATCGCGTTTTTAGCTTGTGGCCCCTTTAGAGGTCACAGTTTTTATCCGATTTAAAAAAAAACATGTGAATATATCACCATTACACACTAAGATCTTGGTTTCTTTTGATAATCGCGTCTATCCGAATGTAACTTCTTGGATTATGGCTCCTAATAGTTCGAAAAATCTTGCACAATTTTTTCTTCTGATTTTAAAAACCGTTTAAATATGTCGCCATTCCACTATAATGAAGGTTGAATTCGAATTTCGGGCAAATCGAAATGAAACTGCCGTACAAAATAGCCGCTCTTTGTTCGCAAATTGTGTAAAAGTATGCAATATGTTCGAAAAATCTTGCACAATCTTTTTCTTCTGATTTTAAAAACCGTTTAAATATGTCACCATTCCACCATAATGAAGATTGAATTCGAATTTCGGGAAAATCGAAATGAAACTGCCGTACAGAATGGCCGCTCGTTGTACGCAAATTGTGTAAAAGTATGCAATATGAAGGTTGTGGACCCTCTAGAGGTCACAATTTTTATCCGATTTTGATGAAACTTAAAACATATCATTAGATCTCAGTCCCTTTTAATATTTGCGCATTTCAGACCATAACTTTCTGGATTATTGCCCTTGGTTGTACAAAAAATCCTGTTTGTTTTTAGCTTGTTCTCCATCCATCTCTTGGAAAATGTGGGCGTATCCTGCCTGGCAGCCACTGTTTTTTTGGGTTTTTTTAAGACGAAACGAAACATCAAATAATCACTGCTTGAATTAATCATTAGGAGTAAATACTGACTTGAGATAAGGTTTAATATATATATATATATATATCATTGACAATAATAAATTAACTAATCGTTAATCCAAGACAATTGATTAGTATTACTCATCGGAGCGATCCGGATTTTCAGCCAGTTGATTAATTTATAGTATCCCGTCATGTGATTGACACTCAATAATGGTTAATCCAGGATAAATTCGATTGGAATTTTAAGATTTTTTTTCGGCCAATTCTCGAAAAAGAACCGCCAGTACCGCAAAACATTATCGTCAAAATCAAATTTTAATCGCCACTTTAATATTTTCATATTTCATAATTGCGACTTTGGCGACCGACAGCGTGAGCCCTGTCCTGAAATAATATGTAAACATGAACTTTTATTTCGACAAAATACAACATGCATAAATATTACCTAAATAAAATTAGCAAATAACTGATTGAATGCTTAGATATCGACATAATAAAATAAAAGCCACTGCTTAAAATAAAATTTATTTGTTACATGATAATATTTATGTATATTATGAGATCAACATTAAATTTTCTTTTATTACCACAATTCAATGTAATACATGCGGACAAAGATATGGTAATCAACAACACCCTAACCTCATTTTTACGATGTACAGTCAACATAGTGTACGGAAATAAAGGGGAAGCTCGATTCGGGTTCGCGTCTGTTTGTATATAAAAGGTTACTATAGCGTTTATGTTTTTTTTGCAGATAAAATAACTGCTTATAAAAAAGGCCGTTTGGTATTTGATAAGCTCTAGCAGTGGGTTTCTTAAGGACAATAAGTGGTGCATTATTATAAATCAATTCGCTCCTTTTATAGATCCTATATGACAACAGACTGATGCATAGCTGTGCCAATACGGTTACCGATTGAATGTCCATCTGCAGACAGTTTGAACCAAAACTCAAATTAGTAAACAACCTAATTATACTACTTAATCTTTAGAAACGAATGTTTAATTGTATATAGAGCTTGTTCAGCCACCTATCAAAAATACATGAGATTAATCAATTGAATACTTTTTACCTGAGTATATTAGATATATTTCATTCCTTTAGACACGATTAAAACTGTTCTCAATATTTGAGGTGTGGCGTTGTAGCTGAAAGCTTTCGACATTACATAATACTTTTATAGCAAGGCATGCTGGTAATAAATAAATTTCATAACACAGAACGGGTATGAAAAAAAATATCAAAACATCTTTAAACCTAATATCAAACACAGGGCGATAAAAACGCACTTTTGTTTTTATTAATATCAACTGACAATCAATATTAATATAAATGTTACGGACAAGACACTAACGGTATTAATGCTGCTACCAGAATCACAAATTACCTCATCTGGCTCTGGTTCAGGTATTTTGACTCTCCGGCTGAAAACTGGATGCATATAGCGATCAAAATGTGGAATTCGAACACTATCAATGACGTCATCGGCTTCTGAGACGTTAAAATAAGCTAGATATGGCCCTTTCTGTTGATAAAAGTCCGTGTGGGTTGAGTACCATAAAGGTCCCGGTGTTGCTTCCAGAATAAAAACATCGGGAGTATAGGTAGGGCGCATGATATAGTCTGCAACTGATCCATATTTCAGATGAAGGTACTCTGATTCGTTTTTGACAACCTTTATATCCCCGAATGCTAAATGCCTAAAATCCCCAGCATAAGCGTCCAATTCCCTTTGTGCATCGGGTGCCTTGTGAACAGGATTTGACGACTTTTTGGCTTCTAACTTAGACAGGTGAGCTGTCATATCTTCCATAATCTTACAGACATTGTTGGTGTCAAACCAAGGCGCACCATGTAGCAACATATCCAAGCCAAATATATTGATAAGAGATATAGCGGCATAAGCTTTATGGCTGTTATCACCAACAAAAGCAGCGTGAACACCTACAGCTCTACCAGGAATAATAGAATATAAACTCTCATAGCCTGGTAAATTTCCACCCTGGGTATAGGTTGGGTAACCTAAAATTGGAAGAGTATATGGGTTAAGGTAATGGGTTACGGGTAGAATTTTGTCTAACAATCTGTTTTTCTTTTAAAAAATAATGTCTATAGACAAAATTAGTTTTAAGATATAATCGATTTTGCGATTTTGTAAGCAGGTCGACGTTTGTTAAACCTTTCGAAACCAAAAAAAAGAATCATATAGAGCTTATCCAATCATTAATAAAAAAAAATAACACATCAGATCAACCCAATAATATACCTTATTTTGAGCGAAGTCATCGAAATCAAGAACGTTAGCTCCTTTATATATTATTTTTAATAATGGCGCCGTTTATTTAAACGGGTTCATAGAAGGCATAGCTAAATACAAGTACATTCCAGATCTAATACGTTATCATTTACACTTACCCCTATAATGTCCTTTAATCCACCCAAGAGTGTTTGAATCACGACTATAAGAAACTTGTATGTTTGGTTGCTCAAACCCACGAGATCTCGGCCCAGCGTCTTCAGTCCTGAACATCCAGGGTTCAAATAGTTGTTCCAGAGCTGCTGTCCCTAATACCTGGCGTTTATCTGTATTCTTACCCAGTTCTAAGTTAAACAACAACCATTTGGCCATATCGTCTGCAGATAGACAAAGTGCCGATCCTGCGCTGATGACATCAAACCCTCTGGAAATATGAAAGATAAATAATTGTCCTTTGCTGATCAGTGTCGTAGACAGCTGAAGTATAGACTGGGGCCGAACGGATTAAGGATTGGAATATTATTCCGGCAAATCGTATGAGAAGGTGTAACAAGTGTGCATAGGATGAAGTGGCAGAATAAGTACACCCAATACATGTCATATTTGAAATATCGATGAAAGCCACACGAGATCGGACATTTGAATAGTTGTCTTACATTTCGAGTGCTCTTAACTACAACGGAAAATACATATATTTATTATCAAAAATTATAAGTCAGAAAACTTTATCGTCTATATCTGCATGTGTTTTGTGGTTGCTATATCTAATAGAAAGTGCAGGGGGACCGCACTACACGTAAAACAAAACTCTACAAGATAAACCTGCGGACAAGACAGAAAATAGACATTGCACCAAATAAACAAATATCAAATCTGATACATGATTTGAAAGGAAATTGAATATTCACAAAGGCCGGTCTCTGTTTCCACCCCATTAACACTGTACATGTATTTTCATTTTTATTTTTTCATTAATTATATAATACGTTACTTCAAAGATGTAAATGGAATGGCATAAGGGTTGCCATTATAACTCAGGACTGGTCCCGCAAAATTATTTGTCTGCCTTTCTTCCACATTTAAGAACATAGGTCGGGTGATTCCAATGGGGTCAAGGATATGACGTTTCAGTAGTTTTTCCCAGGTATCACTTCCAAGTTCTCGTATAACTTCTTCCACCAAAACAAACATGATGTCGCTCTGTAAATATTTCTCTCGAAATTTAGCAATTTCCGGTGCATATTTAAGATTGCTGAAAAATATTTACAAATTCAATGGATGAGTAACATATAATTACTGTAAAATTTAACTGGGTGAATATTTGTAGAAAATACTGTCTGCCATTCATCAGTAAGTTCATTATTGACCATTACATCATTTTGAAATCCAATATCGGTGCTAGTTCTATTGATATTTATATGGCTTGAGGTCTTCGTTTGTATCAAGTGTACCATTGTGGTGCCTTGGCCATCTGCGATCGGACGTCACACCGTGTTTTGATAAAAAAATTAAAACCACACACAATCAAAAACGATATTTAAATAATAATTTTAACTATGTCAAAAAGACAGAGCTTCCGGATAAAGAACACAGCATCCTCCCGCGACAGCTTTCGCTACTCCGCGATATGTAATACTTCCTTGTCAAATTACTATTATCAATTTGAGGACAATTGCCGACTCGTTTAATTTGAGACAATGTGATATTTATTTAGCACTGTTCGTGTATGTGACTGATGCACAGTCTTCGGTAAAGTAACGCGCCTTTTAAAATAAATTCCAAGAACATGAGAATGCAGATGAAATACCTTTTCAGAGTAATATATACAGACTGTAAATACTTACGATATAAGTCTGTATCGTCCCATAGCCCTGGATAGTGGCACCATATCCATGTTACTAAAACCAGTTCTCATTGCTAAAATATCCTTTAAGTTTAAATTTTTTGTTCTATGATTGTCGTAAAACATCACCCAGCTGCCCAGTATTTTCGATATTGGTGTATCCCATGTGTAACTGGAAATTTTAATTAACGGGGATCAATAATTAATACTATATACAATACATACGATACAGACATATACAATGATAATAATCTAATTCACATATTCCAGAAAAAGGAAATGCAAGATAAAATCCACAAATTTTAATTTCAAATCGTGAAATGAAATGTTTAATGTCCTATAACTGTTCTGTACCGATTGGGCTAATGAAGACGGTATACGCCATACAGTGTAGTACTATGTGGGACACTATGAACTACTCTTATATAGAATTGCAACTGCCAAGGGTTCTTTTACGTCCTATCCGAACGACGAGGGGCGTGCTGGCCCCGAAGGGGCCCGGGAGGACGGGCCACGAAGTGTCCCGTCGGTCGCCCAAGGTGACCCGCGCGCCGAAGGCGCGCCGCTGATAGGGGGGTCTGGGGAGGTTCTCCCCCCCAGAAAATTTTTGAGATTTGACAACGGGAAACGCGTTTTGCAAGCACTTCTGAGAGAAATCTAGGTATCATATTTTCCAAATTTATGCTGCTATTTTGACTATAAGACATACTACTGTACTACACAAGACATTCATGACAGGTCTGCTTAATATAATGCTAATACAATGTATTTCTATCCAAATAATAAATTGCATCTTATACATATCGAGGCATGATTACTTGTATTAAAGACCATTTCACCTTAAGGTGACAGACATTTGCACGTCAGCATAATATATTTTACTAATCGTTGTGTATGTATGATTTTTCGCGTGCGCACTCTCAATTTTTTTAGGGGATTCCGCGTGAAAATTAGAGCTCTCAGGGGGGCCCGCTTATACGGGTGGACTTATTGTTTAATGGGGACCGGGGAGGACACCGTCCTCCTAAACTCCCTGCCAGCACGCCCCTGCGAACGACTATATGTTGTCCCTTGCCAGACCCTCTGTCCTGCACCACCGAGAACGGGAAACCATACTGGAAAATCAGGATGAACTTTCTCGGCCAACAATTGAACATGGGACCTCCAAATTAGCGAACCAACGTCTTACTCACTGCGCCATGGTGGCTCCAATTTCAAATCGCTTCCAAGAGTCTTATAATATGTAGCCGCGACTGAATAAACGAAAGTAAAAATACTTTTAGATAAGTGATTTTACACTGTAGTTTTTATCCGTGTTAGTTAAGGCTTGATATTATAAGTAGCTCACATATAATTTGGATGAAATTAATTTCAGACTCTGACTTCAAAACTTAAAACTACATTATTACAAAACAAAAGTAGGGAATACTTTATTAATTCTACTGGAAGTGGTAAGATGTCCTAGAAATACTGGACAATTTCCAAGTAGTGCACGACGTCTGTACGAAACGATAGACACACATATATAGAGGATGATTTAGATACATTGGCCGTCGACAGACTCCAATCCAACCCCTTGCACACAACCAAAATTGTATATTATGTCAATTACCGGTAGCTGAATCTACTTGCCAGCAGTAGCAGTGGGCATTGTGGGCCGATTAGGGATATGAGTAATGACATCCCCAAACGCCGACCCTTTACCAGACAAACACTATAGCTGATTAATCGACCAAAACTAATGCCCGCTTTAATATCGATTTAAGTAATGCATAAGTTCTGTGGCCTGGCCCCCTTTCGGGAATTCTGCATAGGGTGATTTCTAGAAATGGACCGTCGACAGAATCCAATCCAACCCCTTGCACGCAACCAAGATTGTATATTATGTCAATACCGGTAGCTGAATCTACTTCCCATCAGTAGCAGTGGGTATTGTGGGCCTATTAGGAATTTGGTTATGTCATACTAATATGCCGACCGTTTACCAGACAAGCACTATAGTCCGCTTTAATATCGATTTAAGTAAAGCATAAGTTTTGTGGCCTGACCCCCTTTCGGGAATCCTGCATAGGATGGGCAGAAAAATCACCAGCCCAGGGTTAGATACAATGGTCATGGTGCTCAAGACTTGCTCTTGCTGGACCCAAAACCAATCGTCAAAATAGTTACTATAGCGCTCTATATTTATCGTTGCAACAATAGATTCGAATAGATCACATTCATATTCCACAGGTTCCGTCTGTTCTGACCTGACTTGAACCTACCACCATGGTTTCTACCAATGGCGAACATATGTGTTTAGACAGCTGTCATCATTGACCTTCCATAAAGTTTTGGGATACGGAGATGAATTGAATCTAAAAGGTTAATATCAATATTATAACGAAGGCATTCTATACATTTTTATCTACAGGAGTTGCGTGGATACTTTTAACATATATCACAATATAATGGTTTTGGTTTCTATATGGGGGGTTGGATGGCTGAATGTTTAGCGTGCGCGCGCTGTATCATAAAGTCTGTCATTGAGTCGACTGGCGTGGTTTCGAATCCCCGGTTGTACGTGGCAAGGAGTAGGGTCGCCTGTCCAACCTCGTGGGTTTTCTCCGGGTCCTCCGGTTTCCTCCCACTGCTAAAGACCCCTACGCGCAAGCGAATTATGTAAATAAAATTAAACCATATGTTAGTCCCGAAATGACCTAGTTTGTGTCGAGTGGACGTTAAACCCCATTTCTCTCTCTCTCTCTCTCTGGTTTCTATATAGCGGGCACAAACACTGGATCTAAATTACAGAAGGACAAAATCGACACCCACAAATGTTATCTAATATCTTATTCACCAACACTGCAATGTATCCATAATACCTAAAATATAATGGTTGTTTAATCACGTATTTACAGTATTGGTCACTATTTAAAACCAGCCCGTGAGTAATGAATATTGGCAATTTAATTAGTTCCTAACCTAAAGTGGATGATTCTTTAGGCGAAAACTGAATATCTTATTGTTGACATGTGTGGTCGTTTCCGCCCATGCCGACTACACTAGAACTATGAACAATTGGATTAGGTAATTAAAGTGTAAGTTCTTACAGGTGTCTATTTACGTATAAAGTTAACGGCTTATGTCCTTTATAATGACGTGAAAATATGTATTGTGCCAAATAAAACCGGAATGCCAAATTGAAAATAAAACTGACAACGTGAACCTACCATGGGACATCTCTCTTGCAGATAAAACAATGACGCGTGGGATCGGGTGTTCCTGGTAGCGCAAGCATACCCTACCGTGTTAATGTAATTCCTAACGACTTACCACCTAAAATCTCACCACAGATAAGCTAGTGACATTAGGTGTATCTGGAAGGCAAAATTATATCCAGAGTTTATGCGAGCAACATTGCCCCAACGTAATTTGGCAAAATGTATCCCTTCAAAATCCCCCTGGGTGGGTCGAGTTTCCATTTGATAAGACGTTTTCTTTTATTTTTAAATATTTCCCGATCAACTATTAGCCCATACAAATACCCAAACGAAATGGTAGAAACTCTCATTGGAATGTCACCTTTGATCTTTACCATTTGACCATATATTCAAGCAGTTCTTTGGTACAGTAAGTGCGAACAGCTCATAAACAAAAGAACCACAAACACCCAACATGTGTGTCTGCAATATCAGATACCATATTTAATACATGTATAAAATGTTAAAGTGGTGCGTGTAAAGTCATTGATGTACATTATAATTGCATAAAGGATATCCAGCATCATATATAGCTAAGAATAATGTATTTTTTAGTATTATGTTATGGAATTTGGACGATTTACAGGTATATTGTACAAAAGTAACGGATAAGGATACGCGATCGAAAACTAAAAAGTCTTAACCCAATCGACATTCAAGTTCTAATTATGCAACCATAGATCAGAGATTGTATCCATACTACTGAGGTTATAAGAAATATTACGCATTCCGTTAAAGATACATTATGTAAGATTTAGATAAAGAGCTAGCCATTCTTGCTATAATAGTTCGGAAATAGATAATGTAACATGAATGTTTTGAAAATTTCATTCCAATTACTCTATTGCGAGTGAAGATATTAGCCTTTGAAGATTTGACAGGACGTGTGCAATAATTTTAACCACCGTACTGGTTGTTCGAAGCTATGTCTCGCTCCTCCATTTTTAGCTTAAATCCAAATATGGCCGAACTGTTCGGAGAAATCCGATGCCATCGAAAGTTGGTTATGGCCTGGATAAGTTAATTAATGTCTAATTAATAATTTAGAAAACATTTCAGGCCGAAAGATTTAGCTCTTGCATAATGTATGTTTAAAAACAAGTTTTGATACTCGAACAGATGACTTAAAGAATCTAACCCTTTTTAATTTAGTATACAGTATCGAATGGGATTCATCTGATTGTTGTTTTGATTACTTATGGAGCAAGCTCTATACAATTAAACTTTTGTTTCAGAATATTATGAGGATGTCGGTTTCTTTACTAAATTTAGTTTAATTTTTGACGGTGTCAAAACGTTAACAAAAAATGGGTTATATCTCAACACTGGCTTTATCTTTAATTTTTCCAACGAAGAAATACATAATATTGTCATGCCACAAACAAATCAACATATAAAATACAGCCAATTATAAATCACAAATTTAGTTTTAATGCAAATGATAAGGTCACATTACAAAGTACCCTACTTCATAAAAAGCGTGATGCTTTAATATAAATTGAGACCATAGCTTGATGTTAGTCATATCTTATTATATAATTGTAGCCCACGGGGTGTCGCCCATAAATTAGCCTAATGCATTTTATGTTTTTCTAGAATTGTTCACAATTGTACGGATATTAACGATTGTTATTGGCTGAAAATTGGTCGCATTCCAAAATAAATAAAACAAAAATAGATATCGATATTACTTTCAGATTTATGAAGTTTTCATCGTGGCGTATCTGTATAACGTGATCCGACACACCATGGATGAAATAAATGATTATGTCTAAATAACATACAAGAAACAATGGTATCTGGTAATCTATCAAAGGTGGTGTATTTTTTCATGGCGGGAAATGGTTTTCATCATCTCATCTCTAGTTTAAATGAATAATCTTCTTGTAAATATTTATTTTAGAAATTATGCCAACACACCCTTTGCACAATTCGAAAGAACGTCTGTGTACTGGTCTACTTGTACTTTCAATTATACCTTAGTAGTCGGATCACTAACTTCTCTGCAATTGTCAAATTTTTGCAAGAGATATTGATATTCATTCACGGGCACAAACTTTCATCTTGAAGTCAAGTTTTGCCCGTTTTTTTACGCTTTGGGTATACATAGAAATACGATAATCAATATTTGTTGAACAGTAATTAATGCGGAAAAAACATCAGAGGCATGACCGAATGTTTTTGTGGTTCACAAGAATAAGAAAAAATCAAGCGTTTACAGTAAAACATATAATAGACCCCCAAGACATTATTACATGGCATCGATGTGAGAGATGAACAAAATATCATGCACATAATACCTTGAAACACGAGCATGCATTGTAATCCGCGCTGTGTGTGCCAAAAGGAAAACACTATTTATTTTGATGCTTTCTATTTACTCAAAACTGGAATTATATAATATTTACCACGAGGAATACGGCCCTCATCGGGGCTCGTAAATATTTAGACGTTATGCAATTCAACGTATTCTCTTTGAATGATTTTACTTCCGTTTGAAGTTTAGAAACCTTTAAGGCATTTAGTAAATGGGATAAATTCTATATAGAATAGTCTAAAATTACTGTTTATTACTGGGCGACTGATTTGAGGTTATATAAAAATTCTTCAAAAGTTGCAAATAAAGCCATGTTCACTTACTTTTTATTGTTTGATAATAATTTAGCAAGAAGAGTGGCCGTGAATGTTTGAGTTCCAGACCCAAGACAAAAAGCTGTTTCCCTTCCAGCTTGTAATCCGTCCGGTTGGTTGGCAGTTCCGTATCCATTGGTATAAGCGACTTCTCCGTTTGAAACAAGTGCTACGCTGGCTGCAGGTAATCGCGCACATCTCATAACTTCGCTCATGAAATTATTGAGCCGCGTTGCTTCTGTTTGAGACAGGCGACTATTGACAACATGAAAAGAAGATAAATTAATAAGTCCAACGATGAAAATAATACCAACAGCCATGTTTGGGTTCTTATCTGTTTAAAACCCCTATTCAATTCTAAGTATTTATATCCAACTTTCACGTTATTCCATCTCAGACATCTTTACTATAATATATTAGTAAATCCGAGGAGCGCCTTCGTGTATTTAACAATGTATTTTTGGCACCGCCTGTCATCCACTAAAACACCACCACGTGGTACACACAAGAATCTGATCGGGAATGATGTACAGGTCGAGAAATAAAATATCAACACATGTTGGCCCTCGGTGGATCTAAAACATTCTTTATTCCACTGTGTTGAATCCAAAATAAAAGAGTATATCAATCTGATATCAAGTTGAACTTTTCTAGCACATAGTATACTAAATTAGTAGTAAAATGGCATTTAGCAATAAAAGTTTTCTTTGGTACTATTTTATCAGAATATATGTATAAGTTTCAGTTTATGTCTGAATTTCGAAAATTGTGCTTCATTGCTTTAAAAAGAGATTGTTATTGAACAAACATGGGTATAATTAAACCGACTCTCTACGGAATTTGGCATAGTCGATTCTGCCTTGAAGTTGATTAAATCATATCTAAGAAATCGCAGTCAATATGTAGTCATAGATGACGTCATGTCTGACAAGGCTAAAATAATTCAATGAGTACCACAGAGTTCTGTCTTAGGACCAATACTTTTTAGTCTGTATACAAAACCGCTTGGTTCTATTGTAAGAAAATACGGTCTTCTATTCGACCTGTATGCGGATGATACACAGCTGTACTGTTCTTTTAAACCTCTAAATAATAACTTTGTCCCTACGAAAGATAGCGTAGAAAATTGTACATTAGAAATTAAATCGTGGATGGTATCGAACTTTCTAAAGCTTAATTCTGACAAAAGTAAATATTTATGTATTGGATCCAAACAGCAGTTACACAAGATTACAGATACTAAAGATGATGTCGGGGATAGTCAAATTATGTATTCTAAAGTAGCTAGAAACATAGGCGCTATATTCGACCAAAATGTGAACATGGAAGCACAAGAAAATAATATTTGTAAAGTGTGTTACTATTATTTAAGGAAAATCGGTCAGACAAGAAAGTACATTAATTAATTCATGTTACCTGTAGACTAGATAACAAACCTTATGCTCCCAACCCTCCGTGTCACATCAGTATATCTCAACGTTTTTAGTTACGCTCTCGTAGCAACCTATAGACTAGATAATTTCAATTCCTTATTCTCTGGACTTCCTCTTACAGTAATTTATTAACTCCAAAATGTACAAAATTGCGCAGCTATAGGCTAATAACACAAACAAAACAGTCCTCTCATATTACTCCAATATTGTACAGTCTTCACAGGTTACCGATTCAATATAGAATTAAGTATAAAATTCTGCTTCTTACATACAAATGTCTTAAAACCTCATCAAATCGTTGTAAATACTCCACAACAATCTATTCATTAATCATTTGTGTTTATTTCAGTGAGTCGTTGAAAACATTTTATCGAATTTCATTTTCTTTCAACGTTTGTCATTATTAAAACCTACTAATCATTGTATATACTCCACAACAACTTATCCATTAATCAATTAGTCAATTTTTAGTTAAATTGGTATTATTAATGTTGCTATTAGCGTTTAACTTTATAATCCTTAATTAAATTAGATTCCCTTTATTGTCTGCGATATCACCTCGGTGGAAGCTGACGTAAAATACAACTAACTCATCATCGATAGATTCCCTTTAGGTAGCCTAATAAGGGAGATCTCTAGCGAATTTATAAGTGTGCTTTAAGAAAATTTTGGAATCAAAGTACCTTTATTTTTATTTTGTGTCTTTAACAATTTTCAAGTGTAAATAATTTAATTAAATTAACCTGTCCATAATATCATATTCATTGTATGGACGTTAAATCTGTAATAAACAACAACAATTACAGGGAGATCTCTGGTTTGTCAGCATTAACTAAGTATTAAACTGTTGTGTACATGTATATATTGTCCTGTCATATTTTCATTTTTTATCATAGCTTGATAACGACTAGAGAAGCCTAGTCGAAACGTCGCTCAGTAATAAGCAGTAATTGTATTCCATAGAATTGTGACCTGTATACTCTAGTTCAATTACTAAATGCCATTGACACAGTTTATTATAATAGGGTGCTCTGGGACTGGATAACATTTCCATAACAGAGTAGGTATTTCACAGAGTAGCCTCCCTTTGTTTGTATTACTCGTGTAACGTTTTAGACATGAGCTGAATTTATTAATAATACCTTCTTGGAGTTGAATTTCAACTAAAAAATTATATTTACTTTTACGTGGTTCAAAAAGTATGTATTTTTTCTGTTTAATAGCTTTATTGTTAATGCCATGCTTGTCATCGTATTTGTGCATGATTCTTTTATTTTGTGGGTGAATCCGCAGGCGTTCACGAAGCAGTGTCAATAAATAACAACGTAAGTTGAAGTTCATAAGTTGTTAGCGAACTTCAGAAACTTTATCAAACTGTGTCACTTTCAACTTGATAATGTCCAGTTTCATTTACGTCATCCCAGGTACAGTCACACATTTTTGCACTATTCATCGTTTACTTTGACAGCTGTTACGATAGCCTATACTTATATACTAGCTTTCTTTATTAAAGGACTTAAATTAAAGGAGCTAAATAATCAAATTGACACAACGTCACAAGGCTTATAATAATGTATTATGAATGTATATAAACTGATTAACATTCAATCTTTTCCGGTTTTACTATGATTTCAAATCTGTTATGTTTGCCGAAATATGCCAAAGGTCTCAATCAAATGGAAATCTCTAGCGTCTGGTTATTCCAGTCTACACCAATAGTATTTAATGTGCAAGCTATCCAGATAAGAATATGTCATTCCTCGTTCTTCGAGTCTTTTTTTACAAATGAAATGAAATGAAATGGGGTTTAACGTCCTACTGTTTTGCTCCGAACTGGGCTAATGAAGACGGGCATACGCCATACTACAGTGTGCTATGAGGGAAATTTTGCCCGGACAGCGGCACTACGGCCTACTCTTATATCGAATTCCAACTGCCAAGGGATCTTTTACGTGCACGCCAATGTGTACACGGGACCTCGGTTTTTCGTCCCATCCGAACGACTAGACAGCTTTCCTTGTCAGCCCCTGTCCTGCACACTGACAAGGGAGAACCATGCCGGAAAATCTGGATGAACTTTCTCGGACAATGCAGTGATTGAACACCCGACCTCCAGGCTAGCGAGTCCGCGTCTTACCCACTTAGCCAGGTGATAAAACGCTTTATGGTACATATCACATATGATTCGTGTACCGTGGTCAAATGTTTATATTGTCTTAAATATTGGATATCAGAAGCCCATCTTTTCCTGGTAAGATCACAACATCAATGTTGATTTAAACAGACAAATAATTTGTGTTTTCAATGTCGAAGACATTGGATGATATTGAGTTTGAGGCTTAGCTACCAGTACTTTAATACAAGTGCAATGGCTACACATAGACAAGTTTACACTAATAAATAAATATTCTCGACCAACACTAAATCTAGAAATTAATTATTTATTACTTGATGTCTGGGATCAATGGAACTTGGCAATTGTAATACTGGTCTACCAGTAAATGCACTGGACGGAAACCTGTTTGTGAAATCTGTGTCATGCATTGTAATAAATAAACTAACTACCTGGTAGGCAACCAGTATTTTCAACAGCTGTTTCAAGGAATTTATAGAGTAATTGATAGCGGAAAACTAGCACCGAATACAAGGAAGCAAATATGACTGGTATTGATGACAGTTGACTGCCGAATGACATCTGGGGGGTTGGATGGCCAAATGGTTAGCATGTGCGCTCTGCATCATAAGGTCTGTCATTGAGTCAACTGGCATGGTTTTAATTCCCCGGTTGTTCGTGACAAGGAGTAGGGTCGCCTGTCCAACCTAGCGGGTTTTCTCCGGGTCCTCCGGTTTCCTCCCACTGCTAAAGACCCTATGCACAGCCGCAAGCAAATTATTGAAATAAAATTGAACCATGTGTTAGTCCCGAAATGACCTAGTTTGTGTTGAGTGGATGTTAAACCCTCTCTCTCTCTCTCTCTTTTTCTCCAAATGACATCTCACAATCATAATGGCGTAGTCCTTCAAATGATGTCATCAATCACAAACTGTGATAATTTCGAAAATAGCTAAAATTTTATATACAGTCATTAACTATTTAGGAATAAAACTAAATAGAAATTATGCAGAAAGACCACACCTTCCACAATGTTATTGCCATACGCCACAGTAACTACAAAAATCTGCTAAAGATAGCCTACATTATAGGAGATTCGATAACGAGTTGGCAGTTCTCACTATAATAGTTAAAAACTAGATAATGTAGAGGCAATTTGCTGAAAATTTCATTCAAATTGATCCACTATGAACTGAGAACAAAGCGATTGAATTTCCGCCTAGCCTTAATCATCATTACTAAAGTCAGTTCGATAAACAGCATAGTCTCGATTATACATTTAATCGTTAAATCGGGAAGGAAATTTATGCAGTATATCAGCTCACAATCCACTAAAGATCACAGGCCAGTGATGGCATCTAGAGTTGATTATAGTCTGGATAGGTTAATTAATGTCTAATTAATAATTTAGATAACATTTCAGGCCTAAAGAAAGGCCTGCAATAGACAGATTTAGCTCTTGCATAATGTATGTTTAAGGGCAAAGTGGTCAACACTGTAGCATATATCCTCCCATCAATTTTACATGTAGAACAGGTTTTATCCATATTTTATTGTCCAATATTATCAGTATGCCTTTTTGGAGACTTTCACTCATTGGAAGGCTTTCTTCATTTCATATTATAGAGAATAACGATGTTCTGGACAGTGTGTGATGTATGATGAGTCAATTAACTGCACATTAGTGAGAGTACTGTCAACTATTCTGATTCAGACTGATTCATTTATTTTTTTAAGGTAAAAATTGCACCGGATCTTGATATTGGGTTTTGATGTGACTCCTCTCAAAATCATATGTAAAAATAGAAATTACTTTAACATTAATGGCTAATAACGTGCACATTTATATCTTATCTGATATAGCAGTATACGAAAATATTGAATCGATCAATAATAGTACTGAAGATACTGTTTAGAATTTAATATTTTTATATTGATAGCATTTTGAAAATTGACTGTGGAAGGCTGTTAACTGAATCACTAATCTGAACCGGTAAATGTCAAGTAGATTTGTATGATAACCTTTTTTCCTATAGACTAATCTAGAGCATTCACATGTATGAACAAGGGCCATAACTACGCCACAAGTAATTAATAGAAAGTGTTAAAATTTGATAGGCTTCTTTGGGACGCTGATATAATCAATGTGTGAAATGCAACTTTAAACAGTTGCTACCTATTGTCAATTAACCATTCACAAGATTCTACGAAGTGATCAATGATCAACCCTTGATGTTATTTTCAGAAATCTCTGAATTAAATAAAATGTCTTCAACTCACTAGCCTAGATGTTTTCTCCAAGGGTGTCCACAAATGAACAGGGGAAACCGGGAAATGGTCACGTTTCAGCTTGGGCATATTGTGAGAAGATATCATATTGGACGTAAATTGTAAGAAACTATTAAATTTGATTCATAATTCTGAAATACAAAGGGGACGGTAGTGGATTTGTTCCTTGCTCATCAAGTAGAACAGGATCAGTTATGTACCATAAATACTTGGTTGTGCACCCCAAAAGCATGTAGTTCCAAATTTAAATGGCTATGTATTTATCAAAACCCGAAGAAAATCAAACTGGTGTGGCCTTACTTATTTAATAACCACTGAAAATTTATTAAATGTATATTTTTTTTTTACAATAATGTATTGCTAGGGTGTTGATTATTCTTAAAATACGGTACTGAGTCAAACCGTGACATCAGTAGCTGACAAGTTAAGGCAAAAGTAAAGGCAAGAGTAAAATCAAAGTAAAGTTACAGATTGCAAATTTAGCCATATTATTATCAGTTTAATATTCTTTCAAAGTTTTGTTTAAAATTCACTTTTAAATAAGCTTATATTCAGGTTTTGAAACCAAATTTAAAAGGACAGTCTGTATTAAATAAGTGGATCACCCAATTTCTTCAAAAAAAATTAAGCATAATGATAATGTTAGAATTATTTCCAACTCTGAGATTGAGTAGATCTGTTTCAATGAATCATACTGTATCCAATGATTATAACCTAGTAGTAACCCGTGCCAAAGTCACAAAACAAACTAACGATTTCTATCTGGACCATTTACTACAGTAATCAATATTCCATACATGTAGTGGCTTTGATAAATGATAAAAGTTTTCAATCTATTTGAGTGATCAGAATTCTCGTATGAAAACAAGAAAAGGTACATGTACACAGTAGGCTACATGCAAGGTGAATGATGTTATCACACGTAATGTAGAATAATTGAAATTCCAGACTTGTTGTAACTTAATCAATAGAAAATCATCTAGTTGACGAGCTTGTGTGTGAATTAAGGTGGTTATTATCCAAGTTGAATAGACAATCCGTGTAGGTGATCATCAATTGTAAGCCTTCATCGTCTACATACATGATATGTACCGATGTAATAAAATGAAATATTTTTTAACGAACCACTATCTAGAACAAGGCAGCAGATTTTTGCTTAATACAGATTTAGATCAGTTTTCAGTGTGGGAATTATCTCTAGCTCCATCTATATAACATATATCTTGTGATGTAAACTGATGCATTATGATAAGACTTAAAGTTTTTTTTTATGTTGATGTAAATCAAGTGAACATTTAAGATTAGTGCAGAAAGAAGAAATAAGACGAGCAATTGAAATACATGAAGGTAACATCAGTATATGTACAGTATTGTTACATATGTAATTGTGTTTACTGTACTTTGTAATATAACACTGTTATATTATGGATTAATAACCAGGTGTGCATTAAGTTCTCAAATACAACCTTTTATAAGTTTCATGTACCTACTTTAGCTGGCATATTTTAATTATTTATATGCAAATATGACCGACGTTATGATTAATGTCTACCGTAGTATATTTTTTTGTTTTCAGGAACCACCCAAAGCTTGAATACAATAATACTCAACAATGTAATACTCAAAAACGTTTAAAAAAAATAATAATGGAAGCTTCTAACCATCAGAAGCCACCTCCATTCCGAGTGACATCGGCAATGATAATAGGGGGAAGAACAGCATTGGATGAAGTGTTTCTCCCAATTTCCGACAGCAGTTGTTTGAAATCTCAGCAGTATGAATTGAAACCACTCATGCAAAATGAGGAAGGTGATGAGCAAGGTGAAAGGAACGAAGAAAATTGTGAGAGGACTTCTTCTGCATTAAATGATCTTTTACCGAGTCATGATACAGAGAAATCAAATCGCTGTTATCAAGCATCTATTACCTCTGTTATAGTGATAGCCTTCATTTTGTTGTTAGTGATTTTTGGGCATCATTACATCAAAACACTACTTTTATGGATTGAAAGTCAAGACATCGAAGTGGGTTGTGCTATTTTTCTAGTGCTGTATATAATAATTTCATTTCCCATAGCCTGGGGTTATATATTGTTGATGTTAGCGGCAGGATATTTATATGGGTTTCTTTACGGCCCGTTGTTAGTGCTTTGTTGTGCGTCTGCAGGATTGCTTGTTTCTAATATTGTTATGAGACACTGTTGTAGACAATGTTTTATTGCCAAATTTTATAGTCAAAAAGTTGCCGTGATAATTAGTGTCATAGAGAGTGACCAAGGTTTTAAAGTCATTGCCCTGACAAGACTGACCCCAATTCCATTTGGTCTTCAAAATGGCTTATTTGCTGTAAGTATGAACAAAATATATGGTTTAAGAGTAGCATTTGATTTTAGTATGCTTTACTATTGCAAATCATGAAACAAATTGTATACATAAATTTTATATACCTACATCTTATTGTGGTATATATTACTGTCGTTGGCCACAGCTGTTGTACTAACTTTGCAAAGTTAAAATCTTAAGCAATTTTCCGAAATATTCAGAAACAGTGAATATTGAACCAAACATGGTGCCCTCGGCTATTGATGTGGAGCTTTTTTTGCAAGCTTGCTTACATAAGCTTGCTTACATTGTATTGTTGATGTTTCTCAACTAGTGTCCACTTTACGGAGTAAAGTTCTTGACTGTATTTGATCAAATTGTCTCTCTCTTCTTATTTTTTATTTTAGGAACTGTTTTTTAGGAACTTCTTTTTTATTATTAATTGAATTTTTAGGAACTTCTTTTTTTTTATTATTATAAATTGTATTTTACTTTGTTATTGTTAAGCGCATCTGAACACTTCGGCGAAAGATGCGCTATATAAATGTATTAAATAATAATAAAATGGTGTGTATTGGGTTAGGCTCTTTAGTTAGGCTTTACAGATTTTCATGAAACTTTCAAAATTAGTTACCTGTATTATTGTATTATTTTAATTCATGATACATGTGGTGTTTTGTTATTTTTTAATTTGCTACATTTTTTTTTTTTTTTTTGCAGTTAGCAGATATCTCTCTTTTTAGATACTACACAGCTTCTGTGTTAGGACTGATGCCAATGGCTATTTTAAATTGTTATATGGGATCAACTTTACGATCTATGGATGATGTTTTAAGCGATGAATCAAATAAAACAACAGCCTACATGATATTTGGTGCTCAGGTAAATCAAATATTTTTAAAGCAATTGTTATGAGTATCATCAGATCATTAGTCTATTAATAAGAACTTCATTCTTCTTTATTTATTAAGTGTGAATCTGTTATACAACATTCAGTACTTTCAATTATGTCTTACGAAATGCATATCCATTGTTCATTTGGACTCAAGTAGAGGTCAAAGTTAATATCTGATTGACTTTAAATTTATACATAGTGTTTAAGGTCATGAGATAAAGAAATCTATTGATTTTCAGCGATTTTCGATAAATACTGCTAGAGTTATGGCCCTTGATCACTTTAAAAAATCTTGTGGACACTCTAGTGGTTAAAGTTAATATCCGATTGACTTTAAATTTATACATAGTGTTTAAGGTCATGAGACGAAGAAGCCTATTGATTTTCAACGATTTTCGATAATTACTGCTAGAGCTATGGCCCTTGATCACTTCAAAAAATCTTGTGGACGCTCTAGAGGTCAAAGTTAATATCCGATTGTCTTTAAATTTATACACAGTGTTTAAGGTCATGAGACGAAGAAGCCTTTTGATTTTCAGCGATTTCCGATAATTACTATCAGAGTTATGGCCCTTGATCACTTTGAAAAATCTTGTGGACGCTCTAGAGGCTAAAGTTAATATCCGATTAGCTTTAAATTTATACACAGTGTTTAAGATCATGAGACGAAGAAACCTATTGATTTTCAGCGATTTCCGGTAATTACTGCCAGAGTTATGGCCCTTGATCACTTTGAAAAATCTTGTTGACGCTCTAGAGGCTAAAGTTAATATCCAATTGACTTTAAATTGATACACAGTGTTTAAGGTCATGAGACGAAGAATTCTAATGATTTTCATCGATTTCCGATAATTTTTGCCAGAGTTATGGCCCTTAATCACTTTGAAAAATCTTGTGGATGCTCTAGAGGCAAAAGCAGTGGACACACTAGCCGAATGCTTCGCCCGATTCAACCTGTCGATTGCATCACCTTTCACGTCACATGATTAAACATGGCGGCGTCTATGTCTTCAATCTATCACGTTACTTCTCGATATGAGTGGTGATTGGCTAATGAATTCTATATTCGGCCGAATGCTTCGGCGAAGCGGACACACCAGGCGAATATAATTCGGCCGAATATATCAAACCTGTTTGATTCGGGCGAATCATTCGGCCGAATGACAGTGGACACACTTTGAAAAATTTTGTGGACGCTCTAGAGGCTAAAGTTATCATCCGATTGACTTCAGATTGATATAATGATTATCAATGAATCTTTTATGACTTGAACAGCTAAATCTATGATATTAAAAGTTTTGTATACTAAGCTTTAGCATGGGGCAGAACTTTATAAAAACCAAACAAATTCTAATCGTATTCTGATAATTACTTAATGAGTTCTTCTCTTAATCAGATTTTAATGTATTATAAATGTTTCATTACCGAAAAAAGTAAAAATATGCGACAACTCTTGTTGACTGCCCGGACGATATAGCTGCTGTGGGCGTATGTTTCGTTGCCTAGCAACCTATCTTTGTTGGTATTATCGGTGTCATGTTATTTTTGTAGACTATGTAAACAGCCAGTCAGAATATTTCCCTACGTCTCTGGCAGACTTAAAGGATATGCATAAGCTAAGCAAGTTACAGTTTATAATTAGGGCCTCATAATCCACTGGGGCACTAATATAATTGAGCCTCACAATCCACAGGGGCATTAATAAAATTGAGCCTCACAATCCACAGGAGCTCTGATATAATTGGAGCCTCACAGTGCACTAATATAATTGAGCCTCACAATCCACAGGGGCATTAATATAATTGAGCCTCACAATCCACAGGAGCACTGATATAATTGGAGCCTCACAGTGCACATGGGGCACTAATGTAATCCTATCAAAATTTATATAATTTCAGATATTGGTAGCTATTGGTTTATTGGGTTTTGTGATACGAAAAGCTCGAGTTGAGTTGAAGAAGACAGTGGACAGTATAAGTCATGTTGATAATACAGATGTAGGTAGTTATATTAATATTGATATACCACTTACGTAGGTATTTACAACAACACAATCAGACATAGTCTCCATTATTCCAGCCTATATTATCTATCTGAATATTGATCTTGACAAAATAGTATTATATTCTCTATATGGTAATTGGCCCTGTTCTCATATACTGGAAATGTCAACTGAATCCACAAGTTGACAGTGTACTCTGTATATTTTAAATACAGGGTTAAGATCATTTTTCCTCACAACCAATCGTAGGACATAAAATGTATGAACTTTGACACTGTATACAGATTTAGTGTTATTTTGTTCAGATTAGTCGAAGCAGAGACCATGTTCGTTTGTAGAATGGAACGATGGACAGGGATTGTTAGCCCATACATAAACCAGATATAACCCAAATTGTGGTCAGAAATGATTTACCTGTCGAATAGGACAGCTTTTGATCAAAAATGTCATTAATTTGATAAATGACATTGTAATGAACATTACAAAATTTTTATGATATGCAATAATTATGGCAAATCACCTAGCCTTTCAAAGATTGGGTGCTGTTAGTCTAAAAATTTGTAGAATTCATTAGTTAATTTATTTATTTATTTATGAATAAAGTTTAGTCAAACAGTGTACCCCGTATAGTATATCTGGATTTGATACAGACTAGTCAATTGTTTCTATTAAATATAACCTACTTGTAATGAGAGCTAAGGAGGTCTTATTTATTATTTTGCTCCAAGCAGGGTCACTTTGACACCCTGTTTCAAGATCCAATGAAAAGTTTATTTATGAATGTGTTATAAATTTGTTAATTTTATCTTCATGTTGTTAGTATAAATAATGGATTCTGTATAAATACATGTAGATTAGCTTTATATATTATAGCGTGCCTTAGATTAAACAACGATATTTATGACCTGAGAAACACGCACTACAACTTTATAGCATTAAAAATGTGTTGTGACTGATGATGAGATGTATATATAAATTTACTGTAGGTGTAAGTCTGGCCTTCTTGTTGGTTATTTTCATGGTGGACAGCCACAAAAGAGTAAGAACAATGCAAACTCCTGTTTCATACTTTGACTGAGAATTTTCAGTCGAATTCATTTCTTTGCACTATATCGCCTTTCCAAAGATTGCAGTTGTGATCTTTATATTGATTAACCATTATAATTAATAAATCTAAGCAAAGAGCCAGAGATTTCAGACCTCGTAGATGTATGAATGGTTAAATATAGTGATTTCAGACTTTGTAGAATGGTTAAATGTAGTAGAAATAGAATTCTCACGATGTTCATTATTATTTATATTTGTGTCATTATAGTTTTGCTCTAATAAAATAAGGAATTGTCAGTTTAACTTTAATTCGATTGAACTAATGTAGGCTACATGTAAATTCAATAATACAGATAATCTAATTAAAATTTAGTTCCAATTTCGTTTTCTTCATCATTGATTGTGATCAATCCACCCAAAACAAAACAGTTCTAGGTAATTTCAATGAGAGAAGCTATTAATGAAATTAACAATTAATTATGACCTAATAGTTTTAATACTCTTATTAACTGAGCAGGAACCATGCATGTTAAGTTTCACTTGTATTTTATTGTCAATGTAGTTTCATATTCTGTATATATTTCTCCACTATCCAGTTATTAGTATCATTTATTTGATAAAGTATCCTCATTGAAACCTTGCATAGTAGTAAAATCCATTATTGTATGTACTAATTGGAAGAAATTATTATATATTATTTTAAATAATGGTTGTAATATATGACAGTGTGTAGGTTTGTAAGGTATATTTTATTCTACTCTTTTAATTTTTAATAGAAGTCTTTTCTTACATAATTTTTGTTCAATCGGACCCTTTTTAAATCTATGCCCTTTGATAGTTGAAGGTTAATGTCATTTGTTTACAATCAATTTGATTTGTGATGTCTTCTTGATTACGCAAAGTATCCCTTTTAGTCAGTGTTCATTATATTAACAAATCAAAGCTACAAAATTATCACCTTAGATTACAATCCACTAATTAAATGAACATTAAATTACCTTTACAGCTTCTCAATATCTTAACGTAACTGTATTAGTGCTCCCTGCTTACTCATATTCAAATGATCATATTTGAATAGTTTTTCAAAGCTTCTGTTCACATTTTTTTTTGTCTCCTATGAAGTATTTGATAATATTTGTCCAATAAAAACAAATAATATTGAAAAATAAATAAATGATGAAACATTTTATTTGAAAGATTCATCATTTTTAGAAATAGGAAATTGCATCAAAAATAATCCACAAATTGAACAGGTTAATTGAATTGACTATTTGTATAGCAATTGAATTATGACTTACAAATCTGTAAGAAAGGATTTAAATATGAAGTTTCAATTCCATAATATCAATTGCAATATCCATGAATTCAACAAAATAGTTGAATTGACAGTTTATTGTTCAATGTATCGATTTTGTCCTCTTTAGTATGTATTTGTAGTGTATGATGGGTAGTTTTAATGTATGCCAGAATTTTTATGTTTATTTCTAAGACAAATGTTGATAATACTGACACCACTTGTGTCTATCTAGCTTTATATTTGCATAATAAAACAAATCCTATTTTATTGTTTACCTTAAAGATTTGCACCATTCATTGCATATAATATTCTTATAAAATAGCTTTCTTTAATGTATTTATAATCTATGCAAGTTACATGACCAGTGAGATAGAAAAATAGTTGTATTGCAACCGTATGACAAAACATTATATTTCTTAGTGTTTTAAGACTTGCTATTATCTTTGTAGATCTCTTCTGTTTCTCTTGTGTCTAAGAGAAGAGGATTATTATTGATTTTATAAGAAGATTAAATGGGCTTTTCGCTAATCTCTGTACTTATGATTTGCAAATCGATGATAATTAGGAAAGCAAATTTTACAGAGAACTTACAGTGAAACCAGTATAATAAGTGTTCGTACAGAATGGGTAAACTGCCTCTCTTCATAACAAGCATTTATAGTTATACTAGAAAGAAGCAAAACCTCTTTGATTTAGGTCAAAATGATGTACCGGTATTGAATTCGGTTGATATTATGTGTCATTATCTGTCCGTTAGTTTCATTTTGGCGTATTGTGTCTACACTTTTGGTCAATTATATCTCAACATCTATGGACATAAAAAAATTTAATGTAGACAGATTTTTCTCCCAAATAACAAATTTATACATCAAATCCAATGATATCAAGACTTTTACTTTTTACCCTGATCAAAGTGTTTTCGCTATTATTACACTTTTGATATATACTCTTCAAAAAACGTAGGGGATATTCAGAAACAATACAAAACTGTGGAAATGCACTGCTATTTTTATTAGAGGTAACCAGTGTATGTTTATAACAGGCCAATTGCCTACACATGAAGATAAACAGTTCATATGGGCGGCTTATCTGACGGACCCATTTCACTCGCAAAGAGATACACTGTCAAAAGTGAAAATGGACGTTTTTGATTTTTGTCATAATAATAGGTAATTGCTCCACCAATCCTCAGACATTCAACAATTCGTCCTGGCATGCTCATTGCTCCTAATCAACCGTCCAATCACGATTTGGGGCAATCTAAACCACTGCTCTTGCAGTGCCACGGCCAATTCTTGCAGTGTTGTCGGTTGATGTTGACGTCAACGAACACCGTCTCCCGATCATGTCCCAGACATGCTCTATAGGGGAAAGTCGGGACTTGTGGCTGACCAAGGCATATGGACAATATGGAGGTAGTCTTTCACGACAAGAGCGCGATAGACACGGGCATTATCATCTTGAAAGATGAAACGTTGAGCAAAGGGGAGAACTATCGGTGCCAGGATGTGGTCACGGTAGTACACACCAGTGACCCTTCCTTGAACAATATGCAAGTCCGTTCTGCCAGTCATGGTGATTCCTCCCCACACCATGACAAACCCACGCCCGAATCTGTATGCTGTCTGACGTTAACGTTGGCATGACGCTCATTTACATGCCTCCAAACGTGAGCACGCCTATCGGTGAAATCCAGAGTAAATCTGAACTCATCTGAGAACATTTAGCAATACATTTTGACCATTTTGGTTCATTTTTGTCCTATCCAGTGGTGTGGTCACCGCAGAAGAGAGTCATAACTTTTAGTCAAAACAATGGCCATAGACTGGTGATACAATCATAAAATAATCAAAACGACCAATTAAATATTTGTTATTTAATACAAATCCAATGATATGCATACTTATATAGATTTTGACCACATTTTTGCTTGTTTTGGTTTATAGCCGTTTTGACCATTATATCATGTTTATAATAGTTTATATGATCTGCGAAATATTTTATATTTTTCAACTCACATCTTATTTCAATTAGCCCCCATATGCCTATACCTCCAGGTTCGCCACACCACTGGGTCGCATGTTAAGTTTCATCTCTTAATATTGACTTTTAAGATACATAGGCCTACAGCCAAATTTCTACAAGGTCCTCCCTAATAAACAAACTATAAATTTTTGGAAAGCTTACAACACCACGTATACAAATCTAGAGAGTTCCAAGCAAAAAGTTTGCACTAACTCGATTTAGGGTCATATGAAAGTTATGATAATTGTCAAGTAAATGCTATATTTATACTAACAGTTGTGAAGTTGACATAAAATTAAATATTGGCGAATACACCAGATGATTTCATCCTATGCAAAGAATATGCTATTGGTTAAATTTTGATTTAAAGCAAAATGCAGAAAACATAATGGACAGTGGAACATACAGAATTTCAGAAATCCATTTATGGTAAAAGGAGTTACCTCCCTTTATGGAAAATATCAATAATTATTGATAACAGTTTATTGTTCAAAGAATTTATACGATAAACTGAATAAGATTTAACTACAGACAAGGGCCTATATAAGTTCAACTTTTTATCAGATAGGATATGAGGCTAAAGGTCTAACAAATATTTAACCTCAAACATAGTATCTACAGATAATTAGTTTTATCACTAAAATAGATATGGCCAAAACTAAATAATACTGTAAAGGGAGTGACAATATTGTAAAAATCAAATGGGGTTTAATGTCAGACTGTTCTGCACCAACCCGTATAGTGAAGATGAGCATACGTCATACATTATGAGTGGGGGGGGTACAGCTAGTATGCAAGTGTCATCTTCTGTGTGCAATGGAGCCGCGGTGACTCAGTAAAAAACTGGCTCACTTACCAGGCGGCCCAGGGTTTCATCCCAGTCTGGCGTGGTTTCCCCTTGTATTGGCTTACTAATCAGGAAGTCCAGGGGTTTCAGCATTGTTTCCCCTTGTCAGTGGTGTGGTGTAGGAAGTGGGGGGGGGGCTGTGATGGGCAGAATCTAGTTATTCATATGGAATATTCATATGGAATATAAAACTGAGGTCCCGTGCACGTAAAAGAACTTTAAATTCGAAATAAAGAGTAGACCCTAACATTGCTGTTTGGACCAAATTCCCCCTATAGTATGATGTTTGCCGGACGTATGTACATCTTCATTATCCGGATTGATACTGAACAGTTAGGCATTAAACTCCATTTGGTTTTTTGTTCTCTTCATTACAATTGCCACTCCCTTACAGTATTATTTAGGTTTTGCCATATATCTATTTTAGTGAGAAAATTACATAGATACTTTGTTTCAATTTAACTATTTGTTAGGAATTTAGCCCCAAATCTAATCTGAACTAAAAGTTTACAGATATATTAGTAGAAATACTGATATGGGAGAACATACATTATTACATGGTCCATTTTTCGGGCAATGTATTTCAGTTTTTTTGGGCACAAGCATCAGAGAATTGAGAATGTGACCATATATCATGGAAATATAATTGTGTAATTAATTAAAAATAAACCACCATCACAGCTTTGTTAAAAATTCATTTTAGTTAATTTGGGTGACAAAGAAATTTTTCGGGCAAATAGGCTCCCAACTGAAATTGGCCCCCTTACCTGTTGTTCAATCCGATTCAGTTTTTTGAATCAAATATTGTTTAAACTATTGTTTTCCCTCCCATCCGAAAGATTGGGCATTGTCCTTCCAGCCCACTCACACCCCGTACCACTGACCGGGGGAAACCGCACCGGGGTTGTCTTGTACATGTACATATCTAATCTGTGTTAGTGTAGTAAATGTGAAAATGAAACAAAAAAACTGTTAAAGAAACTGAATTTGATGTTTATTGTATTTATACATGTAATGACAGTGATGAAGATAACAACTAACTTTCGTCGGTGATGTGTCAAACGGGTGTATCTAAGAATTTCTAAAGATTAAGAAATAGAACCTTTTGCATTTCAAAATTTCCACAAATCAAGAATTGGACACATGATACCCAGAACAGTTTTAATTGGCGTAGAGATACACAGCTTAGAAAGAAATGTGCATAAAAAATGCAAAAAAGTGTGTTTGACTAATTTCCAGAGATACACACTTTTGACACTTCACCGATGCTTTGATGACTTTTAAAGTGAAGAGTAACTGCATAAATTTGATTTTCAATAATTGTTTTACTTCAAACTAGTTTTTGTCTTATATCTATATTTGTTAGCAAATTACACAATTATAGATACAGTCTCAGTTTAAATGTTTGTAATTCGACATTAAATATCTGAACTAGAGGTTTACAGCTACCTGTAGTAAAAATAATGTAGGGTATAATTGAAAGGGTATGTTGGTGTGGGTTTATGTTTCAGTGAAAAAAAAAAGTGGTTTCAATGCGATTTACAAAACTACGGACAGAGTCTGGTCTCCATTACATCATGCACATATTGCTCAACCAATGTCAAACATATCTCCTTGCTCATCAGACTAGGCGCTCCGCCCATAATTTCTGGGTAAACACCCGCTCACCAACCCTTGCAGCCCCCTGGGACCCCATAAATGATATAAATATTGGGCTTGTGTGCTCACACATGGTCTTGTGCATCATACAGGATCAGCAGTCAACACACCTGAAATACTGTTATCAATTGCAGACAATTGACAGAAAGGGAGATAACTCTCTATTACCGTTAATGGATTTCCAAAATTCTGTATGCTCCCTTGTCCATTATGTTTTCTGCATTTTGGTTTAAATCAGTATTTAACCAATAGCATATTCTTTGCCGAGCATGAAGGCATTGTTTTTTTAGTATAAATATAGCATTTAGTTGAAACTTATCACAATTTTCATCTGGCCCTAAATCGAGTCAGTGCAAACATTTTGATTGGAACTTTCTGGATTTGTGTTCCTGGTGTTATAAGCTTTCCAAAAATGTATAGTTTGTTTATTAGGGAGGACCTTGTAGCAGAATTGTGTTTCTAAACAAGCTAGAAATTTTGGCTACATGCCTAACATGACCATAATTCCCTATTTATATTATGATAAGCGCACTAGCGATTATTTACCTACATCTTTTCACAAATTTAATTGAAAACTTTATACTAAAACCAATGGTCTCTGATGATCCAGTAATATAGATAAGTGATCGCTGGCCTTTATTTTTAAATGGGTATATATTTAATATAGATGTAATTATTTATAATGGATTGTTTCCTGTGGTTTCATATAATATCATCGATAATAGACCATGTTTTTATGTTACAAACTATGTTGTTGAAACTTAGTGCTGATGATGTAAATAAATATTTAGTATCCATTCATTTAAAATTTTTGTTTTATATGCTCACATTTAATGTGGTCATGTTGTCATCATCTCCATCCGTTATCCATATCCAGTATATTATCAGTAGGCCTACTCTAAAGTTCAGAGTTCTTTTTCACATTTGCAGTGGTGCTTTATTTTGTCAAAAGGAAGGAATTTATCTCCCCATGTATGATCCAATTGTCAATTTAAATGCATATTGCAGAGTTATGTAACATGTCTATTGCAGTTCTTTCTTTTGGCCTCAGTGTTATATAAATTATTCCGTCTTCATTAGCCCAGTATAGGAGCAGAACAGTAGGACGTTAAACCCAATTTCATTTCATTTCATTTCATTTCATTTCATTTATATAAATTATTAATTAGACATTTATTCCCATCACAAGCTCATAATCAACTCTGCAGACCATAGATGATTGTTATTTTGAACAGATTGAAACACCATTACATACGACTTTGTTTATTTGCTCAGAATGAAGTAATTTGCCTGAAAGTTTTCAATGTGATGTTTTAAAACTTGGTGCCTTGCATTAGTATGGACCTAAGTCAGGGGGGGGGGGGGGGAGTTGTGTGATTTTGGCCACTAAGATTGCTACTTCAGTGACCGAGAATTCCCATCATGCATCACAGTCACACTCTCTAAATGACTGATACATTCATTTTCTCTACATTACAAATATCCAGCAGAAATTACATTTCAGTCAAAAATGCAATTCTGGAATACCCTGAAAATCTATGAATCAAGGTTATGAAAACTTACCACCTGTTCACTGACAAATGTCACCTTTCCAAAATAATTCCCTGGGAAATTCCACATATTTCTCTATATAGTGTATATGCTTCCTGCTAGTTTCTAAAACAATATTTACGGCACAAATAGTTTTGTCTGCCATGTGAACTTAAAGTTGCAATTTCAAATTTTCAAGTTATATTTTTAAAATGTATTAAAATAAAGCCTTAAAATAAATGGTATCCATAAACAGTCCTACCTTGTTAAAGAATAATCCTATTAATCTTATAATTCGCTATTGCCAGCTGAGAAATTGGCAAAAATATCATTTTT